CTGATCACTTTGGTATATATAACCCTATATCTGACTCTTTTAGTTTTAGGACTTACAAACAACCGTTATGTGAACAAGACTATAATACTCTCTTTAGCAACTTTGTTGCGAGAATATAAAAAACGTATGTCATATACCACATTTATTTTCCTTTGTTGAATACACTTTGTGATAACAATCTATTCGAATTTAGTTATCGCTCAAAAACACATTTTCATTGGCTGGAAGTCCGAACAATTTATTTTTGAATCACAACAACAGAATAAAACGAATGATTTTGATATTATGAGTTAAAACGCTTCTGAAAAATTTTTGTATTTGGGGTATAGATGCTATCTTATATAATCGAATCCTTATTAAATAATAAAAAATAAACATCGCCTTAGAGGCCAAAATCGAAATATGTATGTGCGTACAAGTAAATGTTTAGCCCACAGCCTTACAACGTCCCGGTACAGATCTAAAGCACGAAAGTTATCATACTACTTTCAAAGAAAGTAAGAAAAGTAAGAAATATGCATTGTGAGAATGCACTTTTGAGATATTCCGGTATTTCATGCATACTATACTTAGAAGTTTGTTTGGGATCATTAACGTGTTGGATTTCCGCTTTATGTGCATTTCCTCTTCGGCGTATGGCAGCATAATGTCTTTGTTAGACCACTAACTAAAAATGTCAGTTGGGCAAACTTCGTTTCGTGTAAATAAACCAAATTAGTTTGCTGCCTTCCTCAAACGACATTTTTTTGAACGAACTGGAAATTCGACACATACGTACGTGTAAACATATTATTGTAAGCGATACTGGTATTCCTTTGATACTTACTATCAATAATTTTTGTCACATTATTATACCTTGAACAGAGTAAAATAAGTTTGAAGCGAAGCTTGCCTATAAAGTATACATACTTTTATGTACATATGTATGTGTGTTACATGTGAACTAATCGGCTCAGTTCTTGAGATATCGATTTGAATTTTGCACACGTCCTTTTCTCACCAAGACGCTTCACATTTGTTAATATATGTAGCTGCCATATAAACTGAACTACCGGAATCAAGTGCTTGTATGAAAAGGTCTTTTTTCATTTGACAAGTTATCTTCACGAAATGTGTTCAGTTCGGATCAATATAACATATAGCTGTTATACAAAATGACCGATAATGTTTTCTCTTATTTTAATACATATTATTCATAATACTATATATTTACTTTTATGTGAAAAGGTCCAAAACTCCTGCAAACTCTTTGCTTATGAATGTACATGTATCAAAGAAGATTTAATATATAATAATAATGATAATATAAATATAACAACGATCATATTTTTTAATAGAAAAGTAGGTGTCCATATTCCGCGTTTACTCCAATTACAAATTCTTATTGAAATTCATAAAAAGTATGGAAGAATAATAATTTTCTACTTTTTTAACTTTACATTTACAGCCTATACTTTTTTGTGGCTTTATTTTCGGCGGTTATTGTATAACTGAATAATTTTTAACAAATACCACTTGCTGCATCGATGGAAATTTGCTAACACATGAATTGCGTACTCAGAGCCTTTTTATATTAGTATATTTATAGTTGTACTGAAACAAATAACTGTATAATATGTGGTATTTAAGAGGTCATAGTTCCACATTTGAGGTAAAAGTATCCATTAGTATGGCGGTGTTATTTGCAGGAGCATTGCAATTCGTTGCCGACATCCATTCAAAGTCTTTTACTGTTGCCTATTTAAAAAATAAACGAAATACATCATTACTAAGTACATATGTACTTTTAAACAAAGTGAAATTTACTTTATGCATTGAGTACACCGCAACTACCACCAGCACATGCATAATATTATGGGAATTTAAATAGAAATCCACAACGCCAGGAAACCACTTCTCCGGTATACGCAGAGCGCCTATAGCACCACCCAATATAGATACACCATCCTATTGGACAGAAAACAATGAATGTACTTCAAACACGCAGGCTTATAATAACAAACATCGGGTGAATTCTTTGGACGTGAATAGCTAAATAAACTTAAAGCGAAATTAATTGGTGTTTCACGTTAATTTTTGAAAGTTCTCTCATATAGCATAATTAGTATTAGTGCACTAACTTTTCCTTTTTATATACATATTTTACAAAATCTCTACAACTGCACGGAGAGATAATTACCCAGTAGCATTAGGGAAGAAGATTTTAATATCCCGTTTTACTTAAAAACAATCAAAAAAACATCGAATAGAGTTACGGATGACGAAATTCGCATAATTTTACAGAAATTTCAGTCAAAATTTGGTTTGGACCACAATATGTATAACAATTTTATCAGAGCTTTGGGTAGTTAGATCCTTAGCCTCCAACAATGCATTGATTTTCGCTTAAAGTTCTAAAAAGGTTGGAATTTTATTTCATTAATATATACATAAATGTGGTTTAAATATGCATGTATATATACTATACCTATAAGAGTACTTTCAAATTTCAATAACAAAACGAAACTACTCCAACGACGGGAATAAATACAAAAATGCAAAATTAACTAACTACATTTACGCCAATTAAAATAGAAATAATTAACATTTTTACAATGATTATCACTCACTGCTTCTAACTGGAATTTGGTTAATTTTTGGAATGTTTTGTTAGCATATATAGGTAAGAAAAGTAGAAGCAAAGAAACACAATTTTTCATATCAGTTACATAGTAATGAATATAGTTCTTATTGAGACTTATAATTTTAATTAACTAGACGCCTTTTAACAGTATTCGTTCTTTCTCTATGCTTCTTTTTCTACATCCGACACTCACCTGTAGGTAAACGTGAGAAAGTGCTATCCGGCTTCCTCCAACCCATACATCCATAGTTCGAAATAGTGTCAATATTGAACGCATAGTGAAGGGCAGAGCGAAGCAAAGGCGACGTTGCCAAGGGGAACTTGCCGTTAGAGCCTGGAATTTGCAGATTAAGTTCATATTCAAATGCAGTCACACTTTTCATTAACATGCAATCTTCACTAAATATAAAATTAAACTATATCCAGTTAAATATTTTATTATATTCCTTATATATACATATGTCTCACTCACTCACTTTATATAAATTCTTCCAACATACTAACGCTACGCTGCTTATATACTTTTTCATTTAACACACGAAAAAGAAATCACTATAATAAGCTTGCAATGTACACTACTGCACAATTCACTCACTCACTCACTTTATATAAATTCTTCCAACATACTAACGCTACGCTGCTTATATACTTTTTCATTTAACACACGAAAAAGAAATCACTATAATAAGCTTGCAATGTACACTACTGCACAATTCACTCACTCACTCACTTTATATAGACCCCAAAGCGACAGTAAACAGTAGGATAATATGATAAACCATTTCCAAAAAGGACTAAAACAAAACGTGGTTGCTGTGACGAGCGGCAAAGCACCTACAAAAAAAGGAAATGTAAAGAACATAAATGTGCTTCTTTAGAAATGGAAAATATGTAAAGTGGAAGAGGGCATTAAATATATCTATACACGTAAACCAGCGCTAAATCTCTTAGAGAGAAGAGGTGTGTCCAACGTTTGCCGAGTAGAGTCTGAACAATTTCATATGTACAAATTTCAGCTGACCCTTTTTCTTCTAGCCACGCTTAGGTCTATACACCGATTGTACCTAGGTTTCAGTGCACCGATTTATAAATTTATTGGTCTCAGTCTAGTTGGAGTTAGAGCAAAAGACCAATAAATTTATAAATCGGTGCACTGAAACCTAGCTACAATCGGTGTATAGACCTCCAACTAGACTGAGACCAGTTGGAGTTACTCTTCTTTATCGCTAAATTACTTTCCTGTGAAAATCTTTTGAGAAGAGAATAGAAAACAAGTAAGGAAGGGCTAAGTTCGGGTGTCACCGAACATTTTATACTCTCGCATGATAAAGTGATAATCGAGATTTCAGGCGTGGTTGTGAACCG